CATACAAGACATGCAAAAGAGATTTACACATATAATTAATCATCTTGCATCTCTAGGAAAAGTGTTTCCTAACGAAGATCTTATTAACAAAGTTTTGAGATGTTTGAGTAGGGAATGACAACCGAAAGTGACTGCAATTGCTGAATCAAAAGATCTAACAACCATGTCTCTTGCATCTCTATTTGGAAAACTTCAAGAGCATGAAATGGAATTGATGAGACTAAGTCAAAATGAAAATAGTGATCAAAAGAAGAAAAGTATAGCACTTAAAGCATCTTCATCCTCTCATGAAGAAAATGAAAAAGATGACAACATTGAGGAAGATGATGATGATGACGATGAAGATTTCAATCTCTTTGTAAAAAGATTCCACAAATTCCTAAAGAATAGAGGAAATAGAAGAAAGTTCAATTTCAACATAAAGAAGAAAGGAGAATAATCTTCTTCAACCCCGAGATGCTATGAATGCAATCAACCGGGACATTTGAGATTAGAATGTCCGATCCTTAAAAGAAAAATGGAAAAATCCAACAAGAAAAGCTTCAAAGAAATGAAAGGGAAGAAAACTTATATCACTTGGGAAAAAAATGACATGGATTCTACAAGTGACTCTGAAAATGAAGTTGTGAATTTGGGACTTATGGCCAAAGATTATGAAAGCGAAGAAGAGGTAACATCTTCTAACACTGATATCTCAATTTCATTTGATGAACTACAAGATGCATTCAATGATCTACATAAGGAATCTTTAAAACTTGCAAAACTAGTATCATCCTATAAGAAAACAATTTCAAATATGGAAAAGGAAATTACTAAATTAAATGAAGAATTAGATAGTCTTAAATCAGAGGTTAAAATGCTAAATTCCAAGAATGGAAATCATTGTTCTACAAGTAACTTGGAAATTACAAACATTACACATCCATGTACATCATGTCATGAATTTAAAGAAGAAATTAACAACTTAAAGAGTACTCTTTCAAAATTTACCATTGGTAGAAATAATTTAGATATACTGTTAGGAAAACAAGATGTGGTTTTGACAAAGTAGGATTAGGATACAACCCACAAAAACAACAAAATAATTACAAGAATTTCTTTACAAGTTCTCAAGTTTCTACCTCTCCTTTTATAACATGTTTTTATTGTGGTAAGAAAGGCCATAGTATATCAACATGATATGTCAGAAAGAACATTACAATTTTAAGAATATGATTTGGATTCCAAAAGATTCTTTAGTTAAAATTAATATTAAGGACCCAAAGAAAACTTGGGTACCAAAATCAATCCATTCTTTGTCTTGAAGGATTCCAAAGACCAAACTTGGTATATTGATAGTAAATGTTCCAAGCACATGATAGGAGACGACAACAAAGAAAAAATACCTAGCATTGGAAAAATTGGTACAAATTTCTCAACCTCCATAGAAATTGTCTTACTTATGAATGGTCCTAAACATAGTTTATCAAGTGTGAGTCAATTATGTGATAAAGGTTTCTTTATATCTTTTGATTCACAAAAATGTCTTGTTGAACATAAAAATGATGAATCATGGTTATGGCATAAAAGAATTGCTCACTTAAACATGGAACACTTAAATAAATTAATCTCAAAAGATTTAGAAATAGGATTACCAAAAATTAAATTTGAGAAAAATCAACTTTGTGATGCATGACAATAGAAGAATCAATTCATGTTATATTTGATGAAACTAACCTTGTTTATCCAAGAAAAGATATTATTGATGATATTGTAGAAAAGCTTTGAAGATACTCATATTCATAAGCAAACTCAAAAGGACAAAGAAAATGAAGGAATGGAGGATTATATAATTCAAGAGAATCAAACAAACATAATTCCTCAAAGAGAGTCGAGAATCTCAAGAAATCATCCTCTTGAAAATATCATTGGAGACATATCAAAAGAGGTAACTACTAGATACTCTCTCAAAGAAGCATGCAATAATTTGGTTTTTGTTTCTAAAATAGAATTTAAAAATCATTGATGAAGCGCTAAATGATGAACATTGGATAAATGCTATGCAAGAAGAGTTAAATCAATTTGAGAGAAATCAAGTATGGAAACTAGTCCCTAGACCATATAATCATACAATTATTGGAACCAAATGAGTATTTAGAAATAAATTAAATGAACATGGTATAATTATAAGAAACAAAGCTAGACTAGTTGCTAAAGGATATAATCAAGAAGAAGACATAGATTATGAAGAAACATATGGACTTGTAGCAAGACTAGAAACCATTAAAATATTAATAGCCTATGCACCTATAATGAATTTCAAACTATATTAAATGGATGTCAAAAGTGCATTTCTAAATGATGTTATTCAAGAAGAAGTATATGTTGAACAACCTTCTAGATTTAAAAAACTCATAATTTTCAAACCATGTCTTTAAGTTGAAAAAGGTTGATACAACATTAAATTATCAAAAGAAAAATGAATGATATTCTTATAGTACAAATTTATGTTGATGATTTATTTTTAGAGCCACTAATGATCACTTGTGCAAAGAGTTTTCTAATGATATGCAAAGTAAATTTGAAATGTCCATGATGGGCGAGTTAATTTTTTTCTTGGACTACAAATAAGGCAAACCAAAATTAAATTTTTTTTTTAAATCAAAAGCAAAAATACTATGAATTTACACAAAAGGTTTGGAATGGAAAATTTTTGGCTTGCTCTTTACCTTTGGATTATTTTGTTATTATATTATTTTTGATGTTGAAAAAGGGGGAGAGAAAGGATAAGGATCACAAAAGGAAAAAGACAACATTTATCTTAATCCTCTACTTGGCTTTTTGATGTTACCAAAGGGGGAGAGATAAGACCGCAAAGGAAAAAAAATGTTTATTTTTTTCTAACATTACTTTGGGCTAAGTTTGACTAAAATATTTTTACAAAAATATTCTTGATGCTCAACTTGACACTCTACAATCTTTTTCAAAATATAAGTACAACTCCTTTTATAAAAATAAAAGTAACATCAATCAATGTTTTACTAAGGGGGAGTTTAAAGGAGAGTGATCGGAATATACTGTTTTATTTTCCTTCCCTTTACAGTAAATTGTCATCATCAAAAAGGGGGAGAATGTGGAAGAAAATATGCACCAATGTTTTGATGATGCCAAAATGATTATAAAGCATTGAAGAAGAATCAAGGTTGAGCTAAAGCAAGTTGATGCAAGAACAAGATCTCAAGTGGTACATAGATAAGTCTTCTCAACTTAGCTAAGAATGTAAAAGAATTTTTTAGAAATGCAAGTATGTTTGGCCTTGAGAATAAGTTTTCAAAAATTTCAAATTAATCTCTTTAAATTTAAACAAGTTTTAAATCTTTTGAAAGTGAGTAAAAATGTTTTCAAAAAACTTAACAAAAGCTTTAATGAATAGTTCAAATCATTTCTTAAAATAGCTTTGTTAAAGAAATTATTGAGATGAAGTTTTCTACATAAAAGCTTTTGAAACAATAAAAAAATATGTTCTGGTAATCCATTACCAGACCTTGTAATTCATTACCAGAACAGGAAACTTCAAAGTTCAAATTCTGAATACAAAATGTGTTCTGGTAATCGATTACCAGACCTTGTAATCGATTACCAGAAGATAAAATTTCAAAATTTGAATTTAAATTATACAACGTTTCAAACATTTTGAACTTGAACCGTTGTAATCGATTATCAAGTCTTGTAGCCTATTTTCTGAAAAATTATAAAAAGTTACAACTCTTCATGAAAATACATAACCTAAGAAATAATTGTCTATAAATATCCATAATTTTTCAGAGAAAGGTGACGAACTCTATTGTGAAAATAATCTTTACAAATCACTTGGCCAAAATCATTTGCAAAATCTCTAAAGAGTTCATCAAAGATCATGAAAGTGTAATATCCACTCTTCAAGAGAGTCATTCTGTAATACTTAATAGATCATTAGATCTGTAAAGGAGAAAAGGTTTTTCTCCTTGTCGGTGTTTGAATCTCAACACAAGGAAAGGAAGTTCCGAGATGTTGGAGGATTCAATTCTTGTAAGGTTTATAAGAGTAGTGGAAATTTCAAGTGGGAAACTTGAGGACTGGATGTAGGCAGGATTGGCTGAACCAGTATAAAATCAAGTTTGCAATTCTTCTTTCCCGACACTTTTAATTTCTTGTTATTAATTATAATTGTGTAGTTTACATCATCATTCATTCTTTACATACAAATTTGTCTAAGGAAATAAATTGATAAAGAAGTAATTGAAAAAAAAATTTATAAGAGAAAAATTAGAAAACTTAATTCACCCCCCCCCTCCCCCCTCTTAAGTTAATTGAGGCTAAGGGACTAACATGTAGAATCAAGGAATATGCTCAAGTCCTCTTCAAAAATTGCTAACACTCCTTGCTTCACCAAAGTATTCAAATTTGGCTCATTAGCAACCAAAATCAACTACCGTTTGTCTACTCACTACAAAACTTTTAGCCAATAAATTCAGCTAGATACAAGACTATAAGAAGCGCAAATTTAATTTGCATCAATTTCAACTAATCTAATTTTCTCACTATTTCCCACAAAGCTATACAGCTTCCATCAAAGCATACCAAAAAGGTGAAAGAAAAGCCGAGAATTTCTGAAACATCTCTAATGCAAATAAATTAGTTCAGCCATGTGATTGAACATGCTATGGTGATTAGCGTGCGGAGGTAGTTCAGGATGAATAGAGTGATGGAGATGCACCATTTTCTTGTCACCACTGGCTGTAGCTAAAATTGGGAAGCATTCTTTTCCTGCAGAAGGCAACATAATATATTTAAGACAAAAAAGAAATGATATGCTATATTGGAGAAGATGCAATCTAGGCATCATATCAAACTCACAACTCAACATTCACCCAACAAATTCACAACAGCCAAACATATGTAAAAGATTTGACAATTTCTGTCAATACATTAGTAACTTATATTACACAAACAACCGAAAATGTATTTTACCTTCACTGTTGAGCTATTATCGTAGTGTTTTAGATTTTCCTTTCTTCTTTTTAGAACTTTTATGCAGAGGGCGTTCTTGTGTCTCCATAAGCAGTTCATGAAGCATTTGTAACCACAAGTCTTCAAATTGTCTGTGAAAACTCTTCTGAAACCAATCCAAAATTTCTGAAAATAATTCCCTTGGATTCTCCTTCCACACCATTCTTAACATAGCAGAACTATCAATCAGCCTGCTCTTTAACTTGGCTAAAAGATTTCCCACCCTTTTTTGACCAAATGCTTCTCTCTTCATAATACTTTCAGGTGGAGCAGACATGTATTTTCGAACAGATTTTAAACAGGGACACACCTGGCCTTCAAGCAATGCATAGGCAAACACTTGCACCCGGTGTTCATCATTGCTAATGGGCAATGAATATTTTGGAAGCTCCCAACAGAAACGTCCAAAGGTTGGGATTACCCAACATTTTACTTGGTCAGTCTGAGCATCATAGTAAGGTCTAGGATCCAGAAGGGGAGGAGATAAGATGCATGAAGACCTTGCATGCTCAACGAGCCAAGCTGGCTCTACACTAGTTACTCCGTGCATATATGCTCTCTTGGCACTTGTTATCCCTTCTTTGTCTGGTCTTTTGGTCTCTAATAGTTCATTGTAAACCAAAAACTCGGGGCCTACAATGGAAACTGATGACCAACGATGAAGGAAAACACTTTCATCAACCATGCATGATTGGTACCTTAAAATGCGAGAAGTTCTCTCTCCATCAGAGGCCCTAGAAGAAGCTGTAACACGTTTAGCAACCCTATCTGCCCAGCCAGCACATATTGCTTGACAGATGAGCCTTTCCTCAACCAGAGAAAGAGGGTATTTTCCAGAAGAAACCTGCCAAGCACATTCTACATCCTCTAATGTTCCATGATTCCATGAGTACTCTTTTTCAAAACCACCTTTATCACTCTGATAAAAGACCAGTTTAAGTAGCTGTTGTCGAAGTTTGGACATTTCATCCATGGTTTTGAAATGCAATGCATTGTCATCGCAGAATTGTACTGATTTTTGTGAATGTTCAAAACACTGCAAAGCAAAAGCTATGGTTAAGGCATCACTAGTGAGAACTCGGAATTTTTCACGTGCAACTTTAGCTGTTTCTTTTAGTTTCTTTCTCTTGGATTTTTCTTTTTTAGCAGTGTCTTTCTCACTGTCTCGCATGCTAGGTTTCTCAGACATCTCTGAATCTCTGCTGCTGTCATCTTCATATTGCATTACAAAAGGATTTGACAAACTCAAAGCTGCAGCAGCTGCAACAGCATATGCCAAAAGCATATTTTGATTACATTTATGCTCATGTCTTGTATTTTTAATAAGAGTGAGGAGCATTCTAGAATGACGAGGACTCAAGGGATAATGTGCCATGGCTTTCCCCAAAAGTGTAAGTTCATCGTTGCTATCAAGTGCTTCAAGAGCTTTCAAGCAATTTTCAGCCTCAAGCAGAGAAGCAGCTTTAAGAGAAGTAGGAAATGGGAAGTTTGCAACCTGGATGAGAAGCAATAATAATGAGTATAAAAATATCTCAAACTAAAAAAAAAAGGATAGAAAAAGAGAAGAAAATCAAGTTTGACCAGGCAGGAACTGAATAAATCATATAACCATACATTTGAAAAGCTTGATAAATTTTACAAAATAAAATAAAGTTGACATGCAGGAGCAAAATTGAGATTATAATGCCTTAAAACCAAACAGCAAAATCTAAATGAATAGAATATTCTTAATGATATGTCATGGAAGACCTTTTGGCTAAGGATCCCATTCCCTCACTAAGCCCATGATAAATAGCCAAGGTATCAGAAAGCAGTACATAATGAATTACTTCCTACCCTGTCTGCTAATGATAGCACTCAACATAAAGAAGCAAATGGAACAAAAACTCAGAAAGGATAAAGTAAACACATAAGCCTACCTTTTTAATATGCATGGATTTCAAGAGAAGGACAACACCATGAACAGGTACTTTCTCAACTTCAGCAGGAGAGTGCTCAGGAAATTCATTATTAAAGGCTGCAGAAGAATAGAGACGATAGCAGTGTCCAGGTCCAGTTCTTCCAGATCTGCCTGCACGCTGTGCGGCAGATGCCTTACTTATCCATTGTACTTCATATGTCTCCATGCCATTAGAGGGGTCATAATTCTTCACCTTTTCTCTTCCGGTATCAACCACATACTTTATCCCTGGAATTGTTAAAGATGTTTCAGCAACATTTGTGGCAACAACAACAAGCCTCTCTCCCTCCTTGACTTCTTCAAACACACGAAGTTGAGCTGCTGCAGGAAGCATGGCATACAGAGGTAGAACAAAGAGTGCACCTGGAGAAAGATTACAATTTTCTCGACCTCTTTTCTCCCTGGAAACTTTTGTTTCCTCTACATTTCCTTCGATATTTGCAGAAAATGTCTGCTCTCCATTTGAGGAGCTTAATGTGGCTTGCCCAGACAATTTTTCAAAAGCAGCCTTCAGTGAAGCAAGACTTTCCACCTGTCCTAAGGCATCAACAATATTACTCTTGTTCTCCGATAGCTCAAGATCATCATCATCATCAAACTCCAGTTCACTTTCTGTTTCTGAGTCATAAGAAAAATCAGATTCATTCCAATTTACATTATCCTCATCTTCATCATAACCACTAAATCTATCAGTTTGCTGGAAGGATGAACTTCCTTGGACCATAAATGCTTCATTGATCTCATTAATATTTACTCCCTCAATAGAATTTGTTTCATGGACCACAGTGCTATCACTTTCCACAGACTCTTCAACTCTTTTCTTGATAAACTCCTTCGATGCTTTACGTAACTTCCTGCATAAGTCCTCTACTTCCCTTTGCCCAGTAACAAAGACAAGTATGCCCCCAGATGGCAACCTCTTGTGAATTGCCAAGACCTTCTTATATGCTTCTCCAATGTAATCTGTTTTCTCTGTTTTCTTTGAGAAGTATGCTGTTACTGGAAATTGCCTTGTAGGAACTTCTATAACAGGTGGAGGAGTATGGAATAACTTTCCAGAAGTGAAGTCTTGTACTCGCATGGTGGCACTCATAAGAACAAGTTTTAATGGAAAAATGATTTTTTCAGGACTTATGCTTTCTCCTGAAAGTATCAATTTTTTCTGTTCATTATAAATCTGTCATAATAACAAATAAAAAATGATCCTGGTTAGAGTGTCATAGGCACAATTGATAAATACAAAAAAAATATATTTTAAAAAATACTTCATTTAAAAAATAAAGCACTTTCATACCATTTGGCGAGTTTTAATTACACGTGAGAGCATCCCGATCAGAATGTCTGTGTTCAAGCTCCTCTCATGAGCCTCATCAAGAACTATGACAGAATAACGCCTCAACAAAATATCATTCTGCACCACGTATTCAATTAAACAACAAAATAAATGTTGACAAGTAAATGATTTGCCTTTGAATGATGAATTAAAATGTTACCGATGAATAATAAATTCAAAGATCCTATCATGTATTAACTTTTATGTAACATACAAGGATCCATGGTATAAAAAATGTTTCTAAGTTTCCATCAACATATCAGCATTTTCCCCCTCAAACTGAAAAATGTTCCTATGAATTTATCATTTCTTATCCAGCAAAAAGATTGATAGAAGGACTTCTCAAAAAAAAAAAAATGGACAAAAAAAAATAATGGGATAAAATATAATAACCTGAACTTCTCGTAGCAAAATTCCATCAGTCATAAACTTGATAGAACAACTTTCTCCAATCTTTTTGTCATATCTGACTTGAAAACCAACCTCCTTCCCTAGACGAAAACCAAGCTCATATGCCACACGCTTAGCTGTGGCAAGAACAGCCACACGGCGAGGTTGAGTAACACCAATAACACCCTTACTTGAACCATAGCCAGCTTCATAAAGAAACTGATGAATTTCAAAAAAGAAAAAGAAAATAATCAAAGGTAAGCTAATTAAAATGATAGGCACTATCATTATAATTGGGTATCAGACAAACTCACCTGAGGAACTTGAGTCGTTTTACCACACCCAGTTTCTCCACATATGATAACACTAGACCGGTCATTTATAGCTTCCATTATCTCTTGCTCCATCATGACTATAGGCAGATCCTTTCTTTTGTCTTCAACTTCTGTTGGTCTGTGCACATGCACAACAGTAGGAACATTTGGAGGCCTAGTTGAAGAATAATCCAGAAGGTTGCCGAATTCTTTGAAATTGGAATCTTGGTTATCATCTGACTTATCCTGTCCCACGTTAAAAACGTGCAAGTATATAAGAATAGTGTAGTGACTAGTGCATATACAATATCATTTCTTCCAAAATAGTAAACAAAATTTTGAAAACGTGTAATTTTTACATAAACAAAAAGAAGGTAAAGTGACGAATATGAGAACTAATTTGCAAGTGTTATAAATAAATTGTATTTTATCCAATGGTCCAAATGACACTGTTATATCTTGTGCCTTCATTAACTAGCAATCTGAGCAGCAACTATACCTTTGACTTGGTGCTTTTTATTTCATCATTAGAACAAGACATGGGAGAGCATCTGATTTCATCCAGTTGCTTAATGGAAATGTCAGCAAGAGGTTCAGAAACATATTTATAATTTTCAACATCATTGCCAGGAACTGGTTCTTGAGAGGACTCCAAAGGAACGGAAATTGTATTTAAGACTTCTTCTGATCTAATGGGTTGAATTTGAATGATGTCAATTTCTTTGACTTCATCAGCTTGGGCTAAATGAATCTCATCCGTTTCAGGTTTCTTAGACAGCCCATTATCTGGAACCTCCAATCCTTCTTTCAATAAATGCACAGCCCTTCTACGCTTCTCCTTCGCAGTTTCATCCTACAAATATATGATGGCACCAGTAAACAAACAGTCTCAACACTAATTTTTCCATAAAACTATCACTGTTTCGATGATACAAACCCGATTTATATTGCATGTTGACAGCAAAAGAGGATATGCATACTCTGGAAGTGTGTTTTCACTGAAATTAAAAAAACCAAAAATCGAACTTTGATCAACAACTTGGTGCTTTTCCCAGGAAACAGCATTCAAGCACAACAACTGTAACTGAAGAATAAGTCATTCACATACTTCAATGTCTTAATGGCTTTTTCCAGCAGAAGTTGCTTCTCCTTGTCATTCTACATAAATGAAGGGAACCAGATAAACTGAGACTGAAAAAAGAAAACAGAAGATAATTGAATGAAAAGCATTCCCTTTTCATCCACCCAACAAACCTCTAACTTCTTCTTCATCTTCCTTTTCTGAGGCTTGCTCAATTTCTGTTTCTTATTTGATTGGAGTTTTCCATGTTCCTAAGTGAACAGGACTTTGATCATACGAAGTATATAAAGATGCAAATTGAATGAACAAATAAACATGTTCAACTGTGCATACCTGTTCCTTCCCTTTCCTTTTCTTCATTCTCTTAGCAGGCAAAATTAGTGCATTACTATCACCATCTCCCAAACTAGCCAAAAACAAATGAAAGGATCATTCAGGTGATTAAAGAGGCATAAAAAAAAATGTTTTAACCCACTTTTGCAGTTTCCACAAAAGGGGATAATTTAATTTACCTTTGAGAATTGAACTCGATATTGTCTCCGAAATTTTCCAAAGTTTGCATTTTGCTATGCTCAGAAATCAGTACTCGGCAATTCCGGCCGCCTTACGCGTCGTACCACCGTACTGCAGCGGCCGTATGCAGTTATTAGGGTTCTATGCGTCAGATGTTGTGCGAGTGCCGTCGGGGTGTAGGCGCGGTGGGGAGATTAATTCCCGTTCTAAGTTTTTACTTCGAATAAAATTTTAGTTATTAGACTAATAAGTTTATGTAATATATAAATAAATATTTATAATATATATATAAATCAAAAGGCTTAAATAGTTTTTTTTTGATAAAATATTTAAGTTTTTTTTTTTCACTTTCTCAAATTTAAAATTAATTTTTTAGTTTCTAAATTTTTTTTAAAAAATTTATTTTAATCTTTGTACTCATATTTTATTAGAGAATTTGTTAAATATTAACATATAAAATTTATTTCTAATTCTTATTAATAAAAATATTATAATTGTATTGACTTTTTTATTTTTAGATATATTATTAGTAATTTAGGAAATTAAAATAAAAATTTAAAAATTAAAGATCTAAAAATATAGGTTAAATACCTCTTTTGGTCCCTTACAATAATTTTTTGTTCCAATTTAGTCCTACTTTAATTTTAGGTTACAATTTGGTCCCCAATAATTTAAATCATTGCAATTTGGGACTTCCGTCTAAATGATTTAAACGGAGTTAACTGGTGGTCACGTGAATGCCACGTAGGTGGATCCCAAAATACTTGAATACACTTGGAACCAGAACGGCCCGTTCTGGTTACACTATTGGTGTGTAAATTTTGCACCTGGAACGGGCCGTTCCAGATGCAAAATTAACACACCAACATTGTAACCAAAACGGGCCGTTCCAGATGCAAAATTAACACACCAACAGTGTAACCAAAACGGGCCGTTCTGGTTTCAGAACGGGCCGTTCTGGTCCAGAATTTCGTGCAAAAAAAACTAAAATACAAAGCATTTCAAACACTATATTTGGTAATATTGTTAATGGGGATTAATAACTTCAATTGCTAAACACTTGGGTTATACAGTATATCATTAAGGATGATGCAGTGTATCACTAAGGACAATGGTAACAAGTTTTATTTTATTGTTAGTTAAACTGGAGTGAACCACTTACTACCAAATTGACACTATACAGTCAAGGATGAAACGAAACAGTGTTTTTCCTTGAAGTCATTGACGATGTACCCCAACAATAACAACATGTTCTTGAGGAGGTACAACCTGAATTTTTGTGGTTTAGAGTTTCCCTTCAAAGTTACCCAGATGATTTCCTTTCTTAATAATTTCTTTGAACTTTTTTAGTATATGTTATGTTCTGAATTTTTGTTTTCAGTTTCTGAACCATGTTTCTGTCTTTGAATTTATGATATATTATGAATTTTTATTTTCAATTTTTGAATCACATTGCGGCATTTTAGTCAAGATTTTGAACTGGATAAGTTCAAATCAAAGAAATATTTTGGAAAGTCTTATCATATTTGAATTTTTTTTAATTTTATTCATAAATGAATATTAATTTATTGTATTTTTTATTTATTATATATTTATTAATATAGATATAATAAAAAAAATACAATAAAAAGCATGGCGTTCTGGAACGGGCCGTTCTGGTTTCAGGTTTTTTCAGGAATTTTGGCATCCACGTGGCATCCAAGTAGATGCCACGTGACCAACAGTTAACTCCGTCCAAATCATTTGGACGGAAGTCCCAAATTGCACTAATTTAAGTTATTGAGGATCAAATTGAGACCTAAAATTAAAGTGGGACTAAATTGAAACAAAAAAATATTGTAAGGGACCAAAAAAAGTATTTAACCAAAAATATATTTAAATCAAATCAAAATCATACATATATATTTTTATTAATACTGAATAATAACATTTATATATTATTATTATATATATAATGCGAATAATTATCTTATGAAAGTTTGAGCTATATTTTTTACAAAAATAATTTTTTTATTTAATTCAATTTTTTATCATATTTATTCATAAATTAAATTTTAATATTTTCAAATAAATTATCAATAGTTAAAATTAATTTTATGTTGTAATATAAATTATTTATCTTAAATATAAAATATAATTTATATTTTAAAAAATTATTTATATAAATTTTAAATCTAATTTATATATTTAAATATAATATTTATTTATATAATTTATTATAAAATTTAATTAGATATGATAAATATTTATCCTATAAAATACACAAACTAAAATATTAGTTATAAAGATTCAATTATTGGTGTAAAACGTTTTACACAATGAAATAATCAAAAATTACAATTTATATGTCTTTGAATGACAAATTTAAAAAAAAAAAATCAATTACTTTTATAATGTGTTTAGATGAGAAATTTTGATGGAGTAATTTATTTTTTAAAGAATTTTAAAAGATGAAATATTTTATTTGAACAAAAAATTAACTATTATATATTATTAAACACAAATGATTATTTTGTGCCAAAACCTTTTTAAGAGCTTAGCATTTTTAAAGATTCTTTTAATTTTTTATATATTTTAATTTTTATCATATTTATTTATGAATTAAATTTTAATATTTTTAAAATATATTATCAATACTAAAATGTAATTTAATAAGAATAGCATTTCCTTTCTTCCAACAAATAAATCTCTAATATTTATTTTTTAATATTCTATCATATTTATTCAAGTATTTTTTTTTCTATTTCTCTCTATTACCTTCTGTTTTGTCTCTCTTCACATCTAATGTTATTACATTTACTATTACAAAACTTGACATTTAGTGGACTAGCACAGTAGTATATGTCCCCTACTCTTGCAGCTCATTCTTCCTTTTGGGACTATTTGGTTAGTTTGGAGAACAAGATTCATGGGTCGTGGTTGATGTTGGAAGACTTCAACAATGTTATTCTTTATAGGGAAGTTTCTGGTGGTAACTTCTATCCCTTTGGAGTTTTCATTCTAGCTAATGTTTTTAGTGAGTATGGGCTTCTTGACTTGGATATTATGGGAGGCAAGTTTACTTAGTGCAAGAATGTCCAAAATAGATGTTATGTTTGGAAGAAGTTGGATAAATGTATGGCAAACTCTTCTTGGAGACTTCTATTCCCACATGGTTTTGTTGATGTTCTCAATCCTTATGGTTCAGATCATAGTTCTCTTGTGGTCTACTATTTCAAATCTCCAACCATTATGAGTAAGTCATTCCATTTTCAAGTAGTTTGGATTCATCATCTTGATTTTAGGAATTTTGTTTCTCAAACTTAGTTGTCCACATCAAGTAATGCCATTTTAATGCTGCATGGGAGTGTGCAAAAAAGCTACTTTTTTTAATAGGAATACCTTTGGAAATATTTTCAAGTGCAAAAGAGATTTAGAAGAATCAAAGGAATTCATAGAATCCTAGATTATTCTCCCACTTCATATATGATTCATCTTGAGCAATCTCAACAAAAGCAATATAGTGAAGTTTTGGCTTATGAAGAATTGTTCTAGGTTCAAAAGTCTACAGAATAATGGATAAAATTTGGTAACAAAAATGTCAAGTTTTTTCATACTTAAACCATTATTCATAGGAGAAGAAACAATATCACTAGTTTGTTTGTGGATAGAACTTGGTGTTTTGATGTGAATATTTTGAAGGAAGAGGCTTAGGGTTTTCTCAAAGTTTTGTCCTTATCCCTCTTTTTGTTGGTTTCACCAGTCCTTATAGAAATAAAATCATTTGCTTTTAAATGATCCTTGTTTAGATGGAGTTCATAAACCTTTAGGCTCCTAGGAGTTCACTTACTATAAGAGTTTTTAAGTCATGGGATTTTGATATAGTTATGGCCTTAGGTTTCTAGATTTTTGGAAAACTATCCAAGATCTTGAAATTGTTATGAACTTTAGAGAAATCAGTTCTTAGGGATTTTAGCCCATTGATAATAGTTTGAAATCTTTCAAACATCTCATCATTGGTTTCATTCTCCTTCATAGATAACAACGATCATAATGTCTTTGAAGCTTGTTTAAGCTTAATGTCTTAGTGCCCTCATGAGTTACCTTGATGACTTTGCACGTTTCCTTGATAGTTTTGCAGTCGTAGAACTTGTTGTATTTCGTTCTTGATAGAGAGCAAGCCAAGATGTATCTTACTTTGGTGTTGAGTTACATGGTGTTGTAGTCATCCTGTGTGTATTCACTTTCTACCTTTTTACTACAACATCACCTCTCGTGATGATCTTCTAGAGATGATATTGGATGGACTTGATATACATCTCTATTCTGTATTTTCAATATAGGTAGTCTTCTCTATTAAAGGTTGGTGACCTTGTAAAAGAAGTTCCTTCAAGCAGGTACTGACCTTTATTATTTCTCATCTTAGGATCTTTTCTTTTAACATGGTTAGATGATCAACCTCATCAAAGATCGAGTTTTGATTCCAAACTATAGAGAAAAGAAAGACACTAAAAAGAGGGAGTTGAATAGTGTCAATCAAAAAACTCAATACTTTTTTCTAAAACAGTGAAGTAGTTATAAAGCCTTACGAGTGCAAACAAAGAATTAAAAGAAAAGAAAACACAATGTTTTTTTATATTGGTTTATCTCAATTATCTACACCTAGTTCTTGATCAACTCGATCAAATTCCATTATCTTTTATAAAGGTACAAGTATTCTTTCACAAGCTACTTCTAGCTTAACCTAAGTGTTCTTTGACTTGTCTTTTTAAGCAACTACTTAAGTATGTTTTGAACACAAAGCTTCTCTAAGCTTCAATCACCGAGTATTCTTTTATTCAAGCCTCTTCGGGCTCCAATAATCAAATATTCTTTTATAGTCAAGTCTTTTCAAGCTCTCACAATCAAATATTCTTTTATAGTAAAGTCTATTCAAACTCAAAGCAACAATACAAAGTTAAAGTTAGGAAAACTCTTTGTTGTTTTGTCTTACTATAAGTACAAAGCTTTTTATATAAATAATGTATACAAATTTTTACAATTGTTGTTCTCTCTATATGTGTGTTCTATTCTCACTAAATCTTCAAGCTTTTTATATAGGTGTTTCGTAAAAATGATCGTTGCAAATCCTTGAGTGTTTCTTATAGGTTTGTTTCGTCTATCTTCATCTTTGTTCCTTATGGAGGAAAATGTTTGTTGATGTATTAAATGTGAGCAATAAATGTATTTCACCAAATT